AGAGCACTAATTCCTAGTATGGGTCACCATACTTGGCCTCACGTCACTCTCACTTTTTTTCACTTTCACTTTATAAAAGTTAAGAGTCAACCACGCCTACCTAAATGGCTCGTTCTAACAAGCCCCCACATGTCTACGTCACGATGTGGGAAGATTTGCATAACGCCGCCCAAATGTTTATAATGGGTTTTAATGTTTTTGTCGGACGGACAGGGCATCACAATATGGTAAGGGGCGTAACATTTCCGTCACACACTTGAGGTATTCGGCCAATCACAACGCACTGGATAGCTGGACAATCATAACGCACCTCGCTTTTCAGACCGATGAGCTTTGTAAAAATCAACGCGTTTCAGAAAGGCAGGGCATAGAGGAGAAACAATAATGTACAGTATGTGGAAAATAATGTTTTTTAACCTTAAACCGCATAAACACATTTCATTACACCAAATACACAAAATTATGTTCTTTTTAGCAATATATGACCCCTTTAAGGGGTTTTCAAAGTGTGGGATGAGCCTCCACAGGGGGGTGCCAGAGCATGTCAAAGGAGGCTTGCAGAGTGGTAAGAAAAAAAATCTAATAAATTAATTAATTCATGTTTAACCCTTTCAATCAATACATTACAGAAGAAATAATACTATATAAAAATATACATTAAAAACGAAAAGAAGTTTGCAAACAGATAAATTTAAACAAGCAAACTTATAGAAAACTTAAAGTCCATAAATGCATAAGTAAATGCATTTAAGCAGTCAGTTCAAAACAATCGCAAATGCTGTGAAAACCCGGCCGATAACATATGAAACTGAGGAAAGAATAGACTCACATCCAGGTTTCAGTCAATTATTAATTTTAGCATGTATATGGCTTCAAACCACAACCTCTCCCATATTCTGTGATTGTTTCAGAGCAGCCCAAGCCTTTTCTTGCTGTGAAATATGGACTGAGCAGCGGCTCAAAACACCCAACCGCTGTATGAGCATATGATACGCAAACTATCTCTCAGTTAGATAAAGCAAGCCAGTGTCACACTAGTAAATTTTTGATTGATGACTTTTGAAATCAAGGTGAAGACGATTATACTGACTTAACAGGAGTCATACATTAGCCATGCGATAGTCCGTTATTATTGATGCGCACACTCTTGGCGCACTGATCACAACAGCATCGTATTACACCATAAATAACATAGCATATGCACATGCCTCCATTTGGTCCTCAATTCCCAACACTACTTGAAATTCTTAGCGATGTCATAGAATTAAGTCATTTTGGTATTTTACGCTTTTTATAGATTTTTTATGATAAACTATAAAAATTCTGCTAAAAAATGTATGATGAATAAAAAGGCTACAACCCCATCCCCATATCCAGCAACCCAAGGTGGGTTTGTGACTGAGAGGTTGAAAACCTTTGGTGTGAATGCCCAAGGGTGAGGAACGAGGTCCACAGAGTGGAACGGATCCTGAGAAAGAGTGCATGTGGTTGGCGGATTACAGGGAGTGTGTGTTAATGTAGCTCTCTGTGTGGCTCTGTCGGAATGAGGTCACTGGGTCTCGGCCCTATTTAATTAATTAGGGAACAGTGGAATGGAAAATGGATAGCAATCAGAGGCTCACTAATTTCAGACCTGCCAATCAATAAGCCTTAGTGCTGAATTTTCCTTCAGGGGCCTTGGTGGGTCTCATTTAATGTTGAATGTAGGATACTGAATGTTAGCGTGCCTGTATGTGTATAGGTACATAAATAATAAAGACATTTATATTGAGGGATTGCAGCCCAAGGGACATAAATGCAGTGAAAAGTGAAGCCCTTTTGCCACCAAACTTCCAGTATGTATGTGGGCATGCAGACATTCGAATGCACCTAGCAAACGTCAGTCGGCATTTGAAACCATTTCAATTCAAATGACTTGAAGGAATCAAACCAGAAGAATCTGACCCACAGTAGCCACTGAAGAAATCCCAGTATGCAGTGCATAACAACAGCATTGTGCATAGCAACAACTGCCTCTCACATAGCAACCACACCACATTGCATAGCAACCACTGGCAGGTCGTTGTGTATTCCCTGTTAGTTGCTTGCATTTGATGCTAGGTGAACTGCAGTGTCTCTGTGACTCACCCGGTAGAACTCAAGTTTTGATTTGCTGTTCTTTAATATCATTTACTCATCATTAAAGACTGCTTTTTTGTGTGCCTTCCTCTCACAGATATTCGCTCACTGCCTGATGTTGCCATGACGGGAAACTGCAGTCAGGAGTGCAGCGAGCTGGGTCACTCAGATGCCTGTTGGATGCCCGGTCAGCCTTCGCCCGTCCGCAAGACCCGCAACCCCCCTAAACTGTCCACGTTTGTGCCTTATCAGGAGAGGGGGAGCCTGGGACGCCTGGCCAATGGGAGTGTGAGGCTGGGAGGAGAGGAGAACAGGCCACGCTTCCCACCTTCCCGTAGTGCCTACTCCAGCAGTGACCACACCCCCAGTGACCACGCCCCACTGGAGGAGGTGCCTCTGAGCGTGACATCAGAGTTCCCGCCTACCAGCCCCCCCTCCAATCACGCCTCGAAAAGAGAGATATACCTGTGAGATAACCACACCCACCATCTTTGATAGAAATTGTAATTTGAGAAATTACAGAGACAGGGTTACGAAAAGAGAACATCGAATTTGCGACAGGATATCAATTGGATAGTGGAAAAACATGCTATTGTCATAATGTCAGAGTAGATTGATTTTATTTATTTATTTATTCATGCATTCATACATCTATTTATTATCACTTTTAACATTACTGTTCCTTTCAACTGTTTGTACTGTTTTTGCATACCATCAAAAACAACCGACGCATACTTTTATGTGACTAACAAAGTTTTAGCTTCGCTAGCCTACAGAATGTTCATGGGTTCTTCTACTAGATTACCAAGTGCTGAAGTGTACAGGAAATACTGCTGTAAAAGGGTCTTGAGCCACATCCAGAGTGTCTAACACTCTTAACTTGATCCTGTCCTCAGAGGAGAGCAGTCTTTATACATGTAAAACGCTGTAAATAAATTTTTATGGTGTATATATGAATATTACTATCAGGCTCAAGTTGAAAAATAGTGACAAATGTTACATCTAAATCAGCCTGAACACCTGAAGTGTGTGTCGGTACCACTGCTTTCGAGGGTCTGAACGTTTGTAATGGGCATATGGGAACGTGAAATAATGAGCTGGAGTGGAGAGAAAAATGTCCTGATGGTGCTCCATGACCCTCGTTGTGCCCGTCTAGGACCCAGATCCTCACCTGCTGTACTGTATGTCCATATGCACGCTGCAGCACGGTGTATAGTTGTGTGTTCGGTGAGGGTGGGCAGTGGGTTTAACAGTGATTAACTCACTATGACAGACCTTAACATATGCCGGTGTGTGCATTCGTGCGTCTGGGGACCTATTGTCACGAAAAGTAACATGTGGCTTCTGGCACATTAGCACGCTATTCAACAGATGAGAATGTGCGTGCATACTTTTGTGTCATGTGGCAGAACTTGTGTTTTTTGGCACTGTGAATCTCTCCTGAACTCCCACGATGTAGTGCAAATGCTGCCTGGCACTCGCAAAGACGCCTACGGCTCACACAGCACAGCCTCAGTGAGGAGGAGACCACCTGCCTCCCCTCAAATTATCAGTAGAGTTTTGTTAAGTCCACAAACACACCTAGTCTCCATCAAATGGGTCCATTTTCGCCACCACACTCATATTCACGGTCCTGTTTTCTTTGTTTACATAGTTTTTACAGTTTGAAATGAAATCTTTGTGTCCTATTTAGACTTTGAAGAACAAATGTATTAATGCCTTAAAACAGTTGTATATAACAATCACAATGGACAAATTAGACTGATAATCCTGTCTTGTCTGTCGCATGTCAATTGTGCATGTTTTTTTTCCACGATCGAAAAATGACAAATGTTACAAATGATCACATCACCATTCGCCATTTGCCTATTTTCAGCCACATTTTTTTACATATATGTTCTGTCCTCCATCAATTGGGTATTTCTTCGGGTTAGTTTTTTCCTTTGACACTGTGCTGACTATCTAACCTGCTCTAAAGCTGTGTCTCCCTCCAAGTTTCAGAGAATCTCTGGGGGACCATTTTGACAATGACTATCTAGTGTGCTCAAGGACCATATATCTGATGGACATTATCATTACTATTGCATCGCCTCAATATCTCTACTTTTTCCGCACCTACTGCAGCACAGTACCTGCCCAGATCGCGGCACTTGGGCGAGCGTGCTTTGTCTGCAGGGGGGTTGACGATGTGCATTTCCTTAATTAGGGTGAGTAATGAGTGTGGTGCAGTTGGCATATGCGAACACTCCAGCCCCCAAAGGAAGCAGCAGATCACAGAAAAAGATCCCGGTCCAAACGCTTCAATTGTTTAGCGAGTCGCATTTTTCACTGCACTTACCTCATCGCGACTGCCTTCAGCACCTCTTGCCGAATAATTAAGGCTGAAACGTATGGAAATTACTGGACGTAGCCATGATTAAATAAGGCGAATGATTATCCCGCCCTAAGGAAAGAAAGCACATTATGCTGTTTTCAAAGCCATTTAGTGACTCGGATAGGAAAAAAAAAATCCAGCGAGAGTCATGATCCAGCGTAATTAGCCCAGCTCGCTTTTCCTCCTTCGTGCTGCAGCCGTGCTCTTCCCAGGCGAACGTGTGAGATCGCTGACCTGGACTTAACATGGCTAAAAGATAGAGATGACCACAAAACTCTACCACCACTTAAAGGCTTTCATCTATTCAAACTCTGAGTGAAGCAGGTTCTGACCTTCCTCCACTCTGATGCCGGCCTGAGTCAGATAGTCTGAATTGCAGGTTTTGACTCCTCTGGCTTCATCTCGGCTGTTTTATTCCTAGTAATTCTAAGGCTAGACTCTTAGAGTCCTTCGGATGCCGGAGGATGGATGGAGGAGTGTCCACTTCTCGTGGTTGTTTTTTAAACTGGTGTTTAGATGTGTGCTCTTTCACTGTTAGATGTCTGGATGTGATGAGACGACCGTAACGAACGAGGGAGTCTTTTCTTCGTCCTTAGAGCGAGACTTTTCTTCATAGACTAACGAAAACTGGTGTTTGTGGTAAACATCTCTTAAAAAGTGTTCTGTACATAGCTCTCCACATTCCCCGTGCGTGGTGTCAAGCAGGCGACGAGTTGAGCATGAATTCCAAAGATAATTGGTAGAAACCGTTTACTGTTCTTGCTGAAATGTTAGTGCCGGTTCAGAAACCTTTTCTTGAGAACTAAAGCGACGTTCACTGCACAAAACTCATCTTCACCGTTCACCCCAAACTGAAGACAGCTGCCTTGAAAGTATGTCTTTTGCAGGAGAGTTCAAAACTGAATATCCTTAATTGTTGGTTATATTTATATAGGACTAAAAATGCTTGTGATGATCTGTTTTTGTACAGTTTTATGTACATGCAAGTGAAGCTTTTTAAATCTTACAACAAAAGCCGATGGCATATAAAAATCGTAAAGTGTTTATTGAGATGTGCACATCTTGCCTTGGATGGATTGATCTTTTTTGCCGAGTCAGTGTGAATGTGGCCGTCGTATGCCTGCACCGTAGTCATTCACTGGCTCCTGTCACCGAGGGCTTTATCAGATTTTATGTTTATTGTGAACAGTGGATTGTCCGATCCGACTTGTTTGTTTGATTCCCATGTGTTTTGTTTTGTTCCGTTTCCGCATGTTGAAAACAAACCCCTTGTAATAAGTCCTTGCAAAGTTTGTAATAAAATGAGTGAAGAAAAAAAAAAAATACATTTGCTTGGTGAGTCATTGTTTAAGAATGAATCTAGGGACTGTGATCTCTCCATAAAGCTTTTTCATTAATAAAGCAAATTGATCTGACAAAGATATAAGACTCTTTTTTTCTCTCTCTCTCTCTCCCATTCTGGGTCTCTTTGCCTGTGTAAACAGAGAAAGAGGAAAAGGTTACGGTTTCGCCGGACTGTCAGGAACTTAATAGAACAGAATAGCGAATGTGAGATCTAGTAATGTAAAGCTCTCACTTCACAAAAGCTATCCATCAATATTAATGATCAAAAAACACAAGACCCCGAATTTTCTCAGTCTCGGAAACCTAATTCTCTTTTCTACAAGGAGTTAAACCGTTACACCCAATACCTCCCAATACTCGACAGCACAATAAAGACGAAGCCATAAAGATGATAACGCTGAGATGAAAGACAATAAATCAATCCAGCTTTCATTTGGTGTGCTGTCTTTATAGATATGCCACAACGTAATTTGTGCACCTCTGAAATGATAGCTTTCACAGATAAAAATAAATAGATGTGAGCCAGCGAACAAACGCTGTGAAAAGCGAGAGCCATAAACAAGTTAAAAAGAATATCAAACGTACAAGATGCAAAGTGAGGTAAATACTTGGAGCAAGTATGTGAGTAAACAGACGAATGAGAGAAATGCACATTACGCTGTCAAGTGCATGAATAGAATAGTTTAGAAGGCCAAACTGCCCTCTAATGGTCGTCAGGGGAACTACAATTCCCAAAAAGGCAAAGGATTAGCGTTTAATACCTGATACTCAACGGTCGGGATTAATGAATCAGATAGCCTTCCTTTCTGCTGGTGTTCTTCAGTTTCTTGTTAACATCACCTACAGCGTACGCGTTCCCGAGGATGGCGGATGAAACGAGTGAAGCCGCATGAATAATAATTGAGATCAGGATGATAGTGGTTTCTGGACCACATAGAAGCACATTTCGCAGACAGGGATGCTCGTAGCGGCTTATTTAACCGAGGCTGCGATGGGAGGACCCACTGAGTTTTTTTCATTAATCTCCTTCTAATGGATAGGTTTTCGCTTCGCCTAGCACTCTGCAGGCTGAGCTTTAAAAAGAGCTGTTTCACTGGTGTTTCTTTTTTTTTTTTTGCATGCGGCTGGGGCATTTGTTTCTTGTTGCGGAGGGAGCCTCAGCAGAGAGGGTCTTTCTTCAAGATGAAACGACCCCCTCGGCTACTGCCTACTGTTGATGTGTTGCCATAGAAACCTGGCCCCTCTCTCTTTCTGTTCCTCCCTCACCCACGCTACTTCTCGCTCGCTTCGTTAAGCGCGGTGCTGCTGGCAATTAGAAGCAAAGCCAGCGGCGGTGACGGCTGTCTCTCAAATGTACTCTCCAATTAAACACTGTCAAATAATGGCGTATCTCAAAACCTCCGCCTCTTGCCATCCCCTCCTATCACACGACACATTTGTGCCTCTAAAGGAAGGATAGTTAAAACCGCACCTAAACAAACAGAAGCGGAGATCGATGGGTGCACAAATTCCAACCTTTTCCGGCAGCATCCGTAATGATGCTAAAGGCGGCGTGCTTTTCCTGTAGTCACAAGGCGTTACAAACTTGATTATTCTTTCATTCAGCAGAAAATGCATGTAGCTGCAAGCCCTAAAAAGGTTTTCTCCACAGTATTGATTGCACATTTTTCAGGAAAGTGAGGTGTTTCACAGATCGTAGGCACTTAAGACTCATAGAAAATTGCTGGACTAAAGCCCTCTCATATTCAGCTATTTGTACCGCTGTCCTACATATCGACTCTCATACACTATAGACGTAATTGGTGCATTAAAATCAATGGCGCAATTTAAACAGCATCATCATTAAAAAGGTTTATGTGCAAAGTCAATAAGCACAGCAGAGATGGTTCGGAACCCCATGGAACATGCAACATCGCACATGAAAAACTCATTTTGCATCATATTGTACGTGCAATCACGTCAATTTTTGTTCATGCCAGCTAGATACTGTATACACTCCTCCACTGCCCAATAGTGTCAATAAAACGTCTCTTTGTCTCATTTAACACCCGATTACATCCCACCTGAACTCAATCTTCCAATCATCTATGATCCCGAAACAGCCTAGAGCCATCCATCAGCCCTGACAAACACAGCGGCCATACGCCACACCTCACAGTAGTGCCTCCTCACCCGTTCATTGGGCCTAAACGCCCCCCTTCCCACAGTCGCTTAGGCCTCAGGAGGCTTCTCCGGTATGTTCAAGTGGAAAATCACTTTTTGAATAACTACTTGTCCCTTTCACATTCGTTCACTGCCTCGTCTGTGGCATTCTGCTTGATAAAAATGGCCGATAGCTCATGTCTGGCAGAGACAGAGAGTTATAGTGTACTATAAGAGTCACATTTGTGGAGTAGTCCAACAGGAAGTACTATTAAAAGTCATATTTATTGACCCGCGCTGTGTGTGTTTGTCGGGTTGTTAAAACGGGATTATTGAAATCGCAAAGACATGGGAGAGAGCTCCGAATCAACAGTGCCTTCAAGAGAGAGGTAGCTCAACACTTCCCTGCCCACCTGCTGAGCACCATCACACACCTAGAGACTCGTTTGAATTCATCTTCTAATCCTAGAAACATGACACTTTAACATTAATCTAATTTACTGCAAGTCTCTTTGCCCAAATAGAATTAAAACAGCTTTTCAATCCACTGGCGTACATGCATTCAACAATGTCTGAGCCACCTGCTGTATGTATTTATATGTGAATATTTATATTCTGTACCTTAAAGGAATAGTTCACCCAAAAATGAAAATTTTGTCATCATTTACTCACCCGTTTGTAGTTCCAAACCTGTATACGTTTCTTTCGCATGTTGAACACAAAAGAAGATATTTTGAAGAGCCAAACAGTTGTTGGTCCCCACTGACTTCCATAGTAGAGAAAGAAATATTATGGAAGTTAATGGGGACCATCAGCTGTTTGATTACCAGCATTCTTCAAAATACCTTCTTTTATGTTCAACATAAAAGTAAATTATGACAAAATGTTCATTTTTGGGTGATCTATCCCTTTAAGGTTTTAGATTTATATGTATATATTATATGTATGTATTATCTGTATATAGGTCTGTGTTGAAAGTCACGGATGTCTTAAAATAAAATTATACTTATCAAACTCTAATTTTGCACCTTGCAGATTCTCATTTGTCAGATGAAATTATCATGACATTACAGAACAGGTACTTTTTAAAATGCATTATATGTTTGTGTAGCATTTGGACCAATCAGACACACAATTGTTCATTTGATTTAACAAATCAATTATTCGTTAGATTGACAAACAATCACAGACCCCTCACCCAACACCAGACTCGGTGCCTATATGTCTGTGAACGATCTCCCGGCCAGGACACCTCAGCCAGATCAGATAAACTTTACGAACTAAAAGTATGTAGAGAGAATCTTCCTCCTACTCAATTCTCTCTAAACCAGACACATACTGCTATAGGAAATGACTTCTTTCATTAATTCATAAACAAATTTTTCTCTGGTTTTCCTATCATGTATATCCCCAGGTCTTTGTGTATGATTACTACCTCCTTGTATATGGTCTTGTTTATTGTATACTGTTTTATGCGTGCGTTATGATAGATCACTAGTTAATATAACCTCACGTATACCATGTTTGGTATCTATGAGTTCGTATTTTCATGATCTAAATGAGTGTATATTATATGTTGATACCTATGCAACACATTAGTATAAGAATCTTGAAGATTCTTCTCTTGAACACCCACAAT